CGCCTCAACCCCTTATCCATCTCATCTATTTCTTCTCCCCTTCGCTCATATCAGCAACCGACATTTCTAAACGTACAAGAGTTTCCTAGGAAGGAAAAGAAAAGAGAAGAAAAAAGACTTTCCAAGCCAAAACACTACAACAAGTCGAAAGGTAGCCGAGGTTAGTCGAGCGCTCATCTATTCCCAGAAGAGTGTAATGAAGAGGAACAAGAGAAAGAAAGGGGGAAAAAAAAAGAGAGAAAACCAACAAAGTCAAAAGCGTCCGTTCAAAATGTCCTATTGTCACTGTTCAGTCTTTATAAATTTCCTGAAACTTCATTGATATCCATACAGAAGATCTCCATCTTTCCTATCAATGGCAAACACTATAGTACGCCTTATTAATTTTAATTAATTAATTAATCAAATTTATATCTGTTAACAGTACAAACCTCGAGCCCGACGTGGATCCTCCGGACTCCACCGGGAACTCCCAGGAGACGTTGACGAAGACGTGACGTCGATGATGTCAATTAAAGAGAATGTCACCACGATAAAGTTCGATTGAAGGAAGAAGGAAAAAAAATCTATCAAAACTTCTGAGCGTTCCTTCAGTGAATATGACTGCACACTTTTTCACGCACTTTCACACTGTTGTCTCTCTCACTCTGTCTCTCTTACTCTCTCCTCGGTTGGTTCTATCACGTCTCAACGTATACACTCACGATTCCTCCCGATTAAGGGTTCCCCGGTACCGTCCTTATTGTTATTTATCCATATGTTATTATTGTTATTTATATACAATGTAATGCCGATATATATAGATATACATGTCTATATACAATTAACGGGGGTTCTTCTTCTGCTTTTTTCTTATTTCATCTAGGATCTTGCCGGACGTACAGGAAACTCCTTTCCCTCGTTAAAATTTCAAGCCCCCCGCACGCGCACGCGCACTCGACTATGGCGTTAAGGTCCGTCACGCCGTGAATGCCTGAGGTCGACTGACAACAACCTCCTAAGTCCCAAAGTGGAATACTGACTTATTTGTGGATTTGCGAAGGGGCCAGCTACCCTCTCTCCGGTGGCTTTAAGGGGGCCGCCCAATGGACGCTCGACGATTCACAGAATTCATAGATGCTTTTGGCAAAGGCTTCGTCCCCACCATTTATTCAGGAGACTAACCTCCCCCACCCTGTGGCCTTTGACCCTCTCGTCACTTCTTACCGATATAGCGGTTTCCACTTCTTCCCGTTTTTATATCTGGGAATTGGGATGACGGTTTCCTCGGGATTCACTGTGATCGCACGAGGGGTGAGTTTTGGTCTTTTTCTTTTTTCTTTTTTTTTTTAATTAAACTTTTTTATCTCAATAATTAATTTGGCCATTTTTCAGATATTCCCTTCTGCCTTGTGAAGCCTTGAAGGAAGGGGTGGTATATCCAGAAGAGTCATAAAGCAACGAAAATGTTATTTTTGCAAAAACAGGTTTCAATATATTTTGGTAAACTAGCGAGAACATTTTTGCCGCTCGACAACAGAAGCGTCGGACGTAGGTATTTTGCATCCTTAAAGGATTTTCCAAGGTGTGCCCAAGAGGAGAAGGAGGGAAGGGTAGGATGAAGGTACCCGGGCGTGGATGTTATAAATTGTCATTCAACCCTTTGACCTGTTTCAACGTCTACGGTGGTGGTTGTGGAAAAAATGCCGTTTTTCGAAAGTTCATCAAAAAATCTCTCTCCGAGTTCTCAACCCTTTAACCCCTTCGAATATATAAGTATAATCTTTTTTCTTGGTCCCCGACGACCTCCTTTATCCTCGGGAAGACCCCTTCGACTTCGTCCATAGTTTTTCCCTCCTCTTACAATTCTTATACCCAAACACTTTTCTCATTTACTGCTTTTACAGTTAAGTTGCGAGTTCCCTATTGCTATTCAATAACTGTTCACTTTAGTATATATATCTCTCTCTCTGTTTTCTTCTCAAGAACCAATCTGTCACGGTGACTCCTCTGCTTGATGAACAATGAAAAGTTTCTTTTCTAAGAAGGAAAAACTATGGAAATCTTCTTTTTTTTCTTCATATTTTACATTAACCTTTTTTAAATTCAAATTGTGTATTAACAGTGTCTTGTATATTTTTTTTACAGGTAATCTAATGTAAACGGGCAAAAAGGCTAATTGGACAAGATCAGATAAACAAGAGTATATATATAAGTTAATTATAATTTTGTCTATTTTGCTACCATCTTTTTTAAGGATATCGATGGAAAGATATTGATCGATATCGATATATCGGGACGTATTAGAAATATAATAATAACGAGGAATTCCGTAGCGATCTATCGTCTTTTTTTTTTTCCTTTTTTTTTGTTACTACGTGACCACTACGTACTTTCAATTTTCATGGTATAAGAATCACACGCGTTTAGATTTTCATTGATAAGATAATAATAAAAATGCCTAATTGATATTTCAATGCCATCCGTTATTATCGCACGACTTATTTATATTGTCGAACTTTATAAGGGTTTTGCAGTTTTTCATTTTCACACTTCGTACATTGTCAAACGAAATCAGACTTATTAGCAGCATAATGACAGCTGTACTTCTTTACCCTTTTCTAACTGCTATACTATAACCCAATAAGGTATCAGACAATGTAAATGGCGGTCGGTTGTTAGATATTTCGTAAATGCCGCTAGGTTTATTATTGACCTCCGCCAACGGTCTGGTGTAATTGGATTTTCGTGTCGGGGCAATCACTGAAAAAAACCGCAACGACTGCCAACTGGCTAATGACAAATTTAAATGACAGGTAGAGATTTTTCACGGAGTCAAAGACGCCAATATGTTCTACAACGTTATCTGTAAGGTTATACATATTTTAATTACGTTATTGGTCGATATTTAATTTGACTGGCAGTGACGTCACAGTGGCTTTACGATCATTACGACTGATTAGAAGCAACATATTGAGAATCGTTCAAATTAATTTTACTGCGTCACTTAATCTATAATCTTTATCGTAATCCACCATTTTGTTTGCAAAGTGGTTTTAATTTTGGGTTGATCCAGTATTTAATAATGGCGACTGACGTTTAACAGGACCTTTCGGTACTAATAAACGCAGCTGTCAATTGTTTAGTTTATTTTTATCCTTAAGTCTGGTCTTACGGTCGTTCATTTTGTCCCCATTAATACCAGAAAATATTTTCTATAGAATTTCATGGTAGGCACTGTTTTTCTAATAGAATTGTTATCAAAAAATATTTCATTTGTCTTTTTTAACTTTACAATGTTTTTTCCGTTTTTTGATTACAGAAAAAGAATGAAGAAAACCTCAAATACTTCACGTCGCTTATCTCTCTGCCGAGTCAATCAACGGAAACGTGATTTCTTAATTATATGGCGAGTTTTGGAAAAAGGCGCACGAGCCAAAACCTTAATAAACCCTTTCACTTTGAGCGAGAGTGGGGGATGAGTCATTACACTCGAGTCCATCTAGTTCCCGTTGCTCGAGGGAAAATATGGATTTTGAAAATTAGCAAAACAGTTACTAAGCATATCGCGATTAATATTAGTCAGATAAAGTCAAGTGTACGAGCGCACTAAAATTGTATTAGTCATAAAGAAAAATGTTACTTTAGTCGTTTACCTTAGTAAGTATATATATATATATATAGCTTATTAATTAATTTAGTTAATTGGCCTATTCATACGTACCAGTACTACCCACAGCCATTATGCAGCCAATAAGTAATGACAATAGTGGAGCGATGATCCAATAAAAATTAAGAAATTAAAAATCCTACAAGGGGGTGGTTATCTTCGGTAAAATTATTCTTAGAGAAATTACGAGTAACTGGATTAATATTTGGTGTCAAAGTATGTCAACCCTTAAAGAATTGACCGTGGTCTAACGTTTAAGTGTTTGACATATTTTTGAGTACAGTCTTGTTTTCGGGCTCAGTATTATCCAAAATTTACGGGCCTCACGACAGTTTTTATTGACAGTCGTTGACTTTACAAACTCTGTACTGTTACTTGTATACTGGTAACGGGGTTAACGGTGGAGAATGTACGATCCCTCCTCTGGTTCCACCCTCTGACCACCCCCATCCGATGACTCTCGCTCTCTTTCTGTCTCAGTTCAAATGTGTAAGCGACGATCGATGTAAGAAGGATGTGTGAGAGAGAGAGAGAGAGAGAGAGAGAGAGAAGGAAAAAATAGGAGAAACACATAGGCCTATTAGGTATACGCGAATTTTCGCATTTTCGAAAAGCCAGATCGTCTTTGCGATTAAATCGCTCGTTAGAAACTAGTTCCAAAAATAGGGTAACGACGTAATTCACGCGCTTACTCCTTTCCTGGTTGCTTTAATGCGTAAGCGGCAAGAGAATTCGTTAGTCATTAAGGAATTTTGTAAGTGTACAGTTTTTGAAAATTTTGTCAAATCCATCGGGGGAGCTATGAAAATTTTGAATGGGGTGCTTGAAATTTTATTTTTTTTTGTCTTTCTATAGACAAATCTACCTCGTAATCCGGTGCAGGTAGGGTGGTCATAAATCCAGTTTTCAAAATTGTACAATGCATCGTTATCTAATAAGGACAATTTTGATGGGGATGGCAGTTAAGGGTGAGGGCCTTGCTCGCACTTTGACCTTTATATGGAAAGGGACTAGTTGACACAAAACGAAAGAGTCTCAGGGTGCGCACCATGACACCGATTAAACAATAGGTTATACGGAGGAGCTTTGGCCCTGCTTTTGGCCAGTTGTTATTATTATTATTATTGGCCGTAATAACTCGACTGAAAATTAGGAAAAGTCAACCCGTCTCTACGACCCACGTGTTTTGTCTGTAGTCATTGTTTTTCTTTTTTCGTTTCGACTGCTCTTCCCCATCCCTGACAATTATTTCTTAAAGGGATGAAAAGTCAAAATTTATATTTCCAACAGTTCCACTCGTTGTACAGCGACGGAACCCTTAAAGGGACGCTTGCAAAATTTCCAGACAGCTTACAGTCGAATTTTATAATTTTACAAATACCGGCTTCGTTATCTTATCAGGGATTTATGAGATTATCGCTTTTTTTTTAATTAGGTCCTTTTCGCAAATTTTTATGGCGGTCCAAGAGTTACATTACCGATTACCACTCTGTGCGGTTAATTAGGTTAAAGGATTGACTAATTAGTTTCGAAAATTATATAGGAAAAAAAAAATTTGTCTTTTGGCGACAGCGTCGGGACGCTTTTAACTGTTCGTAGTTTTCTTAATGGCGGAATTGTTATTCGCTGCGATTTTACTGAGCGATAGTGAATTTTTGGAAAATTTGTTACATTATCGTCCTCATTAGGTTAAGTTAAACTCGTTAGTGTTATTAAGCGTGCTTAAGGGTATTTATTGTATCCGTTATGCTTTCGCGATGCCCTAATTTTTAATTTTGGTTATCACCGATTGTTCCGAAGTCAAAAAATTATTTATAGCAATGCATTTATCTATTTTCAGATTCATCCCTGCGCAATGGAAAGTAAGAAAAATATTTTTCGCTCGAAATTTCGAGTCTGCCAACCCCTACGGAAAAATACGAAAGGGATACAGAAGGGGTTGAAGGCACAGCTGTTTAAACGCCACCCCCTTGACTGACGACCCCAGGTATTTGCGTGAGATTATTATTCCCAGAAAACGCAAAATTCTTTTTCAACGATTATCCATTTTTTTTTTCTTCCGTTCTATTTCCTTTTTTTTTCAGATTTTCAAAATTTACCAAACGACACTCATGATCCCTCAACACTCCCCAAAGGAATTACCAGTGTGAAATATACTCTGTGTACTAAAGAAAACTGAAGCGCCACAGGGGTCGCCACCCCTGCCAATCATGACGAATAAATAATAACGCCTTTGACATACGTGCCCATACACATCGCAGGTAACGTATTAATCAAAATCTAAAATCACCCAACGGTAAAACCCAGTCATAAACTAGCCATAAAATTTTCAATCAAAAAAATGAATATTTTTTTCCCACCGAAATATCTCCCATCTAAATGTGAAGATCTCCCAAAAAAAAATTTACCAAAATCTTTCCATACTAACAAGCATAAAATTTTCAGTACTTTGACTCGTGCAGGGGTTCAAGAGGTCACGTAGCACAATTGAAAAAAAAAAAAAGAAGGCTCGTGCTTTTCTATAAAAATGTTAAATCTGGCAACGGTCAGAGGGTCTTCCGGACACGAGCGGATCTATTGAAAATCGCGCAGCCACTGACGTGGGGCAATTCGACGGCGCTGCGGCCGTTGTGGATCCAGAATGTAAAATATAGAATACAGAATGTCGAGGATCTACAGGACGTTGCAGGCTGCACAGCACAAATGGCGTCCCTTTCGGTCCTCTTCAGGACAAACAACTGACAGCTGACCCACGCTCGTGCGGGGTTGACCCATACTTATGGTTCATCTGCTGACACCCACCCCTATATATTCTGAGGATAGCCTCCACGTATCCCTCCTTACGTGTATCCACATATCCTTAAGTATATATAGGTATATTAAATACATAGGAGAGCTACTAGTTAACGCCAACTTCTAGAAGCATCCCTTATTCTTATACTCAGTGTCTACACTGTACCAGTGTTACTACTGTACCTTAGTAGCCATCGTAGAGGGTGAGTGGGACTGGTGTCGGTGGTGGTTTTTTTTAGGCTAACAGGGGAAGACTATTTTTCTTCTACCCTCTTGGTTATTTCTTTTTTTTTACTCTTCTAGTTCCTCCTTCCTCCTTCACCCCTCGCTATATATGGAATGAGCTAGACCATTTCCTCTTTGGGATCCTCCACCAAAATATTCATGGTATTTTACCAGTGACCTCTGGGATATTTTTCAAGATTCACTGAGAGAGTTTGTTGGGTTTGTTCATTTATTTTATATTTTCTTTTTTTCCTTGAGACTTATGTAATTTATTTTTATCAAGGACTTTGGCTGTGTATGCTAATTGTGCTGTCATTGTTACAGGAGGTGATTTGTACTGTAGTACAAAGGATCAGGATTTCACTCCAGGACCTGGACCTACTATGGAGATTGGATAGCAATTCCAGATTTGAAGAAACGTGCATGGGTATCCTGACGTAGTACCCTTTTCGGTCCTTTTGAGGGATCCAGGAATATAACCTCTAAGAGGGGTCGGGAAGAAGAGAAGAAAAAAATAGAAAAAGGGAGAAAAAATCGTTTTTCTCGAATCCGCGGCAGCTGGTCAGTTCCGTATGCCCATCGTGTTCCGTTGACGGGCGTCTTTCTTTCTCGTAGACTCGTCGTATCCTCCTTCTCTCTTGATCCCTCTTTCGCGTCTTCCTGAAAAATTCAGGGTTCGCGTAATTCGACCGTTTGTCCGTAACGCATAGGGTACCACAGAGTATATGGAGGTTTTAGCAGCGATTCTCGAAGGAGGGTAGTTTTGGATCGAGGGTATTGAGAAGAGAGGGAGGTTATTGGTCAGAATCGGTCAGCAGCAGCATCCAGCAACAACAACTATAGCACTGGGATTGGTTACGAGTGGCTCGTAACCTGATAAATAAGAAGCCCAGGGGTCACTGCAATGAGAAGGGTCAGTTTCTGAACAATGCCAAATGTATGGCCTTTGCACCCCAGGTTAATATGCGGCCAACTAAACATTGGATATGGACAATGCAAGATTTATAGTTGGACACATACGCCGGCATTGTTAAGCAGCACTGGACGCTCGTTGCACCCCTTGTATGTGGAATATAACGTCGATCGGTCAGACCTTTCCCATTGGTCAACTTACAGTACTTAAGGATTTTACAAAATCGAATGCGCCATTTGCCAAACGTTACGCGATTCTCATTGTAGCGTGCGAATTCTCTCGATTTTCCCTGGGAAACGCGTTCTGACCCTTTGTCCTTTATTAACGGCTCTAATGAAAATTTCCACCGGTCCTCTGGATACTTTCTGCCACCGTATATTCTATGGGTTATGCGTGAGAGGCGTCTATGTCACTTTTTCAAGATTTACCATTTTCATAGAAAATTCAATAATTTTCTCTCTTTAGCTCCTACCGAATATTTTTGATTCTCTGGTCGATACGTATTTTTATTTTTTAATATTTTGTGTAAGATTTTTTTCGACTTTTTTAACAGATAAGGGATTCGCGTACGATCGAGGGAAAAAAAGTTAGGTTAGGTAGTGTTCAAAAATGTAACAAACGAATCTTGTCAGAATCGGATTTTCTAGAACGGAACGAATGCACTCTGTACGATGATCATTTTCATTTATGGCTTTTTTTCCGTCCCTGTTTCGGCTCCTGAGGGGCACGTTAGCCCCTCATGGGCGGAGCATGGGGCTACTACCCTCGTGGCAGACCCCCCTCCAATCCACCCTGCCACACGCGTTAATTCTGGCCACTTTTCAAACGTACTCTGTTCAATAGCTTTTTTTTTCTTTTCTTTCTTTAGCTTCCTTTCTTTTCCTCCCGTTTTCTGCTTTTTCACTACACGTCGATACGACCCAAAATGCGTGAGCTCGTGTCGCCACATTTTTTTTCTCTCTGAACCCCTAGTACCCCGGTTCCCCCTCCTTGCCAGGAAATGCTCTTTGTACCAATGTAAAAGTATCCCAACAATATTGAGTTCTTCCACCTTGTTCCCAAAATCACATGACATCCGGATTTTGTAATACGATTACAGGGTATTTTTTTTAGCTACCCAAAGTACACTAAGGGCAATCCGGGCAGGGGCCCCTGATCGATATAGATTTTTTTTGACAAAAAATTGCTCTCAAGTGCATTTTGACTTTTGGACTATAATAACAGGTTTGTATATTATAATTATATTCATTTTGTACACGTATGAGTGTCTGATTGGAATATTTTATTGATTTTAGAAAATATTCACTGCAATCCTACCGTTGCTCTCAAAAACCGGATGGATCAGCTTCTTTTTAAGGACTTACTGCTATTTCTTGCACATCATGGCAGGCGTGCTCAGGACTTGGTGGGTCGCGCACAAATAGAAGTAACCAACAAAGACCCGTAGGAGCCATTAGGAATGCATTTTAATGCACTGCGCAAACGTACAATGGATCCCCGTAGGTAAAGAAGGGGAAGTGGAGAAAAAAATCGTCCATTGAAAATCAAATGCGAATCCTGGATACGTTTAACAGTCGATCGATCTGAACACGTCATCGTCAAGCTGCTGCTCAACGATACGAAAGCGTTTTCCGGTTAGCCACCCTTGAGGTGGTCGAAGACAAAATTTTTTTATTGAAAAAAAAAAAATATATTTAAACCAATAGGGAATGAAAATTGATAGAGTCGCGTATAGGCCTGACGCCAGTTAAGGGATGAACGAAAGGGCTCGAGTGGCGCTCAATCTTACACAATAGAGATCAACCTGTTGGGAATTGAAAGGGGAGGTTTTTTTCTCTCTTTAAATCGCTCCCATTAGCCACGGGTGCGAGTCCTGTGAAGAAGGGTGGGTCGGCTGAACTTTTTTTTTAATCGACAAAAAACTCCCCCTGCATCGGATCGCGAGCACAAGTGCATCCTACCTGCGCGTGCTTCAAGTGCCGCTTGTAGGGGTTGTTTTTTTGGCCCACGGGGCTCCCCTTTCCTTTCACTCGTTTCTTTTTTTTTTCCATGACGCAACGCGATCTGCAGATAGTCGAAAATCACTGGCTTAAATCACGAGGATAACTACCCCTGTATTTGTCGAGGGGTAACACTTGCCTGTTCTTTTTTTTTTCTAAATTTTTTTACGTCACGACACGTGTAAACGAGACGAAGTGCACCCCTAATCAATATTTTGATATATCGGTACGATCGAGTGGTAATAAAATTTAGGTTGGCAAAATTTTTGACAAATTTTACATTCTTCGAGTATCTGGGGTTTTTATTTTTTTACCAGTATTTTCAGTTATTTTTTTGTTTTACCGTTATACAGAAGAAGAATGCAATATGAATTTTGGAATTTCTCGGAAAAAGTGAGAATAAAAAATTTGTACCGGATAATCCCGATATCTTAGGATGTTAAAAAAAATTGTAAAAAAAAAAAACAGAGACACCCCGTAATATGAAGGTATTGTGCGTCGTAAAAGCAATGGCTGCCTGATGAGCGTTTTTCTCTAAGGATAAGATTTTCTTAAGAAAACTTTTTTATGTACCGCGATTCTGGTATCCGAAAGACCACGGGTACCCTGAAAGGGCTAAAGGATTAGAGACGTAATCTGGTGTTTCGAAGTTTTACAATAGTTAAAAAACGTCCGTACCTCTGGCATGCTTCCGCTTACGGCGAAGGAAAGGGTTGAAAAGGGTTAAGCCAATTGAGGTAGGGAACGGACGCATCAGGTCCCAACTTAATCTCTTGGTTTTTGCGGAGTCGCTACTTCTTGGCCGAGACCCCTTTTTTCGCGCGAGTACAGGAAATTAGTGACAGTAACCTTCTTTTTTTTTCCAACCCTTTTCCCGCACCCAGCCACCCTCGACTCGGTACTTTCACCATTTTACAGCCGAGCTGCTGGCTGGAAAAGTAGGTTAAAAAATATCAGAAGAACTGCCATTACCAAGGGATTTTTGAAAGTCCGTAGTCGAGGAAAAAATTTCCAAAATGAAAAAAAAAAAGATACGGGAGACTTTCTTCTGCACACGGATTTCCAACTTTCGCATTTTGAGAAATCGTAAAACGAAGCTTCCACGTCGTCCATTGTCATGGATGGCGGACCAGAGGTAACGCGCAGGATCGGAGGACCAGCTGGTCCCTTCAGGAAATGAATATGCTTAATCGAACAGAGATCTTTTTACAGGATGATCCCTGGAGGGTCCATAAAAACTGCCCAAACTCGTGAAAGATCCTTTTTTGAGAATATAGAAAAAGAGAACTAGACCTCTTGCAAGAGCATTAAAAAAACATAGATTTTACGGATTTCCTATACCGCTCGCGAGTGCGAGAGAGACAGACTTATGGGCATCGAAACGTATCAGAGAGAGAGGCGAACAGTGCAAACAAGAATCGTGAGTCATACCCTTTCTCTAATTTTTACTGTGAATACTAATGGTAACGAGATGCCATTTTTTTTCTATTTTTTCAACAATTTTTTTATTTTCTAGGAAAAATTTCAGTTTCACAATGTTATTCTCCCAATTTATAATACCAGCCACGTGAGATATACGGGGGATAGGAAAAAGTTTTCGAAAAATCGAAACTCTCGTCTCGTCAAGTTTCCCCTTCCGAGAGAGAGAGACAGAGAGAGACAGATAAATAGAGAGAAAAAGCAACGAGAAAAAAAAGACGACGTCGACAACGGCGAGCCGTATTTTTCGGGCGTTTCCGTAAAAATCCTCATGGGGGATATGGGGGAGTTTGGGCAAGAGGGTGGATTCATCCCCCGATGGACCCCAGCCGGCTCGTTCACTCACCCCAGAAGCCAGACCTTGCCAAAATCACGAGTCCACCCCTCTCCGACACTCTTTTCTACCATTTCTCTATGAAACAGTCATGGCCGCTATAGAATTGTATGTATTTTCGATTTTCATGGATTATATCTGTTTTCGAATAATCTCCTACAATAGTAATTTTTATTTTTCATCTCTGCTTCAGACTGCAATTGAACTACGTGACTCGACTGAAGCAGCGCTGTCGTTTTCAAAAAATAGAAAGTCACTTCCATGATAACGAAATTTTTTGAACTCAATATTGTAATATGTCAATATTTTCGTATCCTGAGGGCTGATCGACAAAAAGTACATTCGACGACGAATCATTTCGAAATGACTTATCGAGCGTGGTAAAATAAAAAACAACGGCAGAGACTTTCTACGTTAATACATAGGAAAGTCCATTACTAATATATATACATATAGTATCGTGAATTCATCACATAACACTTGAATAGAAAATAAAACAGAAATAAAGAATTTTCTTTGGCTATCAGAGTCATGGACAATAAAGGATAATAGGGTGGGCTGTACAGATAATGAAAATAATTCGTGATTGTCAGTATGTAAGTAAACAATATATTTATTGTTATCGTTATTGCTAAGGCACTTGATACCGATATAAAAATGTACGTCACAAATGATCGCCAATGAGCATATTTTTAAATACTGATATTAAACAACTAATTTAATTTATTTAGTATAATCTCAGATGTTTATGTATACGCTTGCGCCATTCAGGGGAGAACGCGAAGTTTACGTCGGATGTACAAAAAAGAAAAATACACTAAAACATTTTCCCAATAGACTAATTAAACGTATAATTATAAACAGATTAATCAATTAATCTCTTAAACTCGTATTCGCAACTGTTTCAACGTATATTTATAAAATATGAATATTAACGTCTTTTATTGTACAATAAACTAACGGCGAAGACTCCCCTGACGTAAACTACGTACAGTGTTCATTTTTTTTTTTTTTATTTAAACCAAAAGCAAGGTATAGGGTGGGAGGGGAGGTGGTAGTCGATTTTATTAATAGTATCGTTAAACTGTAATTAAAATGATATACAATTATAAGGTTCCTATGTATAGTATAAATGGGCTTCTGAAAAAATACGAGCTTCTGTCACGGAGTGTCCCACAGGTTATGCTTAGTAACTTACGCGAGTCGATAAAATAATTAATTGCGATAGTCCTACGGTCGTAATCTCAAATTTTACTTAAACTGACCTCAGGTTAGTCTTTATACAGAATAAAAAGAAAAAAAGAATACAAAGGATCACTCCGCGTCCAGTGTAGTCTCTTCAGGAAGCGCAGTTGCTCTTGTTTTTCTTTTCTTTTAATAATAAAAAAAGGTCGACAATTAATCGCGCCTTATGAATATTATTACTCTTCAACGTTTCAGTCCTATGATACAAGTAATAATAACATAAACATACCGATTAGAGCGTTTTCTCCAGAGAAAAGAAAAGAAACTGACAATCGAGTCTAAACATAACCTAAAACTCCATTTATACTCGCACGCCATAACCTTCTAATACAGACATGAAACCTTAGGGCGTCAACGTGGAAAGTAAACGAGGTGAAGCCGAGACATGTGAGGATTACAAGACGTGATAAATATATCAATTGAAAAGCCAACGTCTCCGCAATATACTTTTCCGTCACGATAAGAAAAGTCGGAGAGAGCCATCTATTTCTTCTCCTTCACTTACGCCTCTTCCTTTTCCTCTTTCTTTTCCACGTTGCCAACATATTAAATTTACAAAACGACTTTCGCTACTTCACGTTTCTCTCGCATCTCGTTTCCTCTTCAGCTCCGATCGGAGTATCCTAAATTAAAATAACCAAAAGTAAGAGTGACGGAGACCTTAGGGCCGTCGCGCAATGTAAACGACAATCCGCCATTGTCCTTAACTTTCATTTTCATTAACGAGAAAAACTATATCGCCCCAACAACTGACCCGGGCTAATATATACTAGTGTCCATTGCTTTACATTTATATTTCATTTTGAATTTCATTTTAATATCAACCGCCATTAAAATTCAATTATCGATACTGATATCGAAGCTCGTAAAAGTCGATTCAAAAAAGTTAATGAAAATGACGTTGAGTCGTGTCACTCTTAAATTTCATACGTTACAGGCTAAGCTGCCAACTTAATTAATTACATGTATATGCATAATATCAGCTGTACCGACCGAACACAACGGACGGTATTGACCTTATTATATATATATATTATATATTAACAATATATAATATATATATAATAATATAATAGCTCTTACAAAGTGTAAAGACAAAGAAAAAAACGTACAATTTAATAACGAAGGGAGGGCCCTCACCTTTGCCAGGGATACGTGGGTGAGTCCCAGAAAGGCAGCCCGTGCTGATACTTAGGGCTAGAAGATATTTAAGTATTCTATAAATATCATATACTTCTCTTGCAACTTTCATTATATAACTGTGTGTATAGTATAAAACGTTAAGGGAATTTTAAAATCTAAACGGCATCCATCTTTTAATTCTTCGCTTCTCACTCTCACTCTTTCTCTCACGCACATTATTATTATCTATAATTATTGCTCTTGTCGATTTTTTAATAGTTTTATCCACGTATCTTATTCTTTTCCTTCGAATTCTCTCGTCTCTCCCTATCGCCGACACCAATAAAACTGCAATTCGTAACAAGTATAGACTTTATATATAAAAAAAATATATATATATTCATTTTGTGTTCACTTCGTAACCTCCCTCAAAATATTTAAAGGTCAAAAAACGTGCTGCCTATATTTTATAACAATTACCACGTGTTCACGTAAACGTTTCGTATGGACGGTTATTGCTTTGAAAGTTGACGGCGTCAACCGGTTCGTATTTTCCGGTTTTTAAATATTTTTTTATCTATTTCTTTTTCTCATTCTCACTATAACGCTCTCACTCTCTCTCACTCTTAACTATATATTGTATACGTATCTAAGAATGTCGGATATACACTTTCTCGTGACATTCCACTCAAAAAGTCTCTCTCCTACAATTTATAAGGCACTGATAAGAAAGTCACCCTGCCAACCCGAAAATTAATCGATTTCGCCTCATGCATGACTTTCGTCCCCCTTGATCTCTCGTATCACTCTCACTCTCTCTCTCTCTTTCTTCAAATATAATTGCACTTTCAACGCCTCATCGTCGCCCAACGACGAATCGTTGACTTCCGGTCGCAGCCAGCAATATTCTGTCGTATCTTCAACATTCTACTGCATTTTTACTCCGCTTCCGTTCAGGAAATCGCTAATGCAGATTTACAATTATTTCGTCGATCATCGAATCTTCGATACGTCATGAATACAAGACTTGAGCTCGGCTCGAGAAAATACATTTTCATTTTCTATATATATTTATAGAAAAAATATATATATATAAATAGATAAGCTCGACACGGACCGGAGGTCGTGAGAACGCCATGTTTTTGTTCTTCGTCATCGCCTTGCCCCTTCGCAATTGCTTATCGCAATTAACGCGAAAGGCTCGCGGTTACGTATTATCAAGATTATTTTCGCGATGCATGGCGTTCCATAGTTTCTTTATCTTTTTCTTCTAGTTTCGTTTATATATATTTATCTTTCTCTCTTTCTCTCTTATTTTTTATCGCTCCCTATCTATCTCTCCCACAGCGTTTCTCTTGGGCGGACGTTTAACCGTGAGAAAGAAAAAATACAGAGTCTATTTACATGACGTTGGCGAGTATACACGCGCATATATACAAAGAAGTCAAGAGAGAGAGAGAGAGAGAGAGAGAGAGAGAGAGAGAGAGAGAGAGAGAGAGAGACTGATAAGGAGAAAGAGAAAAAGAGAGATTATGAATCGAGCCACGAGTCTCTTGAGGTGTATGTCAATATATATAATCCTATATAAAACAGTGTGTATATATATATATATATATATATACGTTCGCAGAAGGGCGAGAGACGATTGAGCAGTAAATGTCGTATTACTTGTATCTCGAGGGCTCGAAGTTTCATGTAATTCACTTGTTATCCTTACTTCCTTGGCAGGCCACATCCGGTTCGTGGCTTTTAAGAAAATAAATAGAACACATAAAGATGCTTACGTGTACCGCGTTTGGAAATGAAACGTTACTTCCGGTATCCGAACTGACACTTCTGAACATGAATGATCTCTCTCTCTCTCTCTCTCTCTCTCTCTCTCTCTCTCTCTCTCACACACACACAACCCTGAACGCCGTCGTTGTGGTTTCTTAAAAATGTATATAGACGCATCGGTTATCGCAATTCGCAGGAGCAGCCGTCGAGCACCTTACTGCAGCGAAGATCATCCAGGTTGGGGTGCCACTACAGCCACGTGAGGACGTTCTCGGGTTTGCTGGGATTGGGATTGATGAGCGACTGTACGTCGTCCAGGATATCGCTGCTAAACTCTTCGCCGAGCTAGAGAAGACGAAGAAACGAAGCGAGAGCGATGAGTAAGCCAAAGAGTGATGCTTGTAGCTAAAACTAACCAGTACCAAATATGTGTCTAGTTAGGTACCTGAAGAGAAGGCACGAGATCATCGGTGGAGTCTATGTTGTCGCTCAGGGTAGAAAGATCCGGTGTTTCCATCGGCGCACCACCCTCTGGTAATGAAAGACAGTATATATATAAATTTGCAAGAGGATTCGATAAACAGCTTTTCTATTACTTTTTACACAGGATGGATTATCAGTATTTACCACTCGTCCCATCCATGTTGTCGTCGATGTTCGCCAGGAAGTCTTCCGGCGTGTGAGGAAGTGAATACGCCGAACCAAGTCCCAAACCACTGTCAGCACTCTCCTGACGCGCATGCTGCTCGTTTATACCCGGCAGGAAGGGGTCCATCGCAGCATCCGTATTGCTCTGTCTCAGCATCAGTTCTTGCTGTAGTAACAGGATATTACATGAATTCGTATTACGTGGATGAATTATTGGATGCAGCAGTAGTTATTAATAGGAGCCACTAAGAGGAGGAGGATCTGATCTGAAGGTAAACAGCAAGATCAGTTGATCCATCAAATATCCAACCTGTCTTATGATTTCCTGTTGACGTTGTTTCAGGCGTTCGCGTTCCATCTGTAGAGACTGAAGACGAAGCTTTTGCTGACAGGCTTGTAGGGTCTGATTGCTCTGTATACCACCGCCTCCAGGTTGCTGGAGCCAATTCTGAGGTAGCATGGCACCGGAGGTAGGAGCTCTTTGAAGATGAGAGGCTAGAAAGATTCATCAGGATCAATGATCATCGCTTTATCTTCACCAGGCTTGCTATCGAGGAATGCTTCTACTCACGGATTCTAGGGTCGAACCAGGAGGTGGTGCGAGTTTGATGATTGATGAAGTAAATCTCTCCTTCCTGAGTACGTGCCTGCTCCCAGCCGTCGGGAAGCGGTCCCAGTGAGCTGGTGGCACCCGTAGACGTTTTTCCACTCTCGACGGCCGCCGCTACGGCTGCTACATTCGCGGCGGCCGCTGTCTTCCGTGGATCCTCCCATGTCGTGGTTCTCGTCAAATGACTGCAATTGAAAATCATCTTCCTCGTCCAGTCTGGTAATGGATCTAAGCGATTCTATATTTTTGTTCCTTTTCTTATTTCTTTTAGTCTCTTCGTAATCGTATACTCAAACAGAGGAGGACTACGACGCAGAAACTGAATACGCCGGGTACGTTAGTTTATCTCGACATAGTGGCAGGGGCGCCCAAAATAGTTCCATTCAAAAGACGAAACGTAGGAAGGAGAAGGCTGGCCAGGGAGGCTAGGTATAAGAGAGAAGTAGGGGGCGTAAGGAAGACCAGGAAGCTGATATAGGTATATATATATATATATATTCAAAAAGAGAGAAAAGGAGTATGATGAAGAGAGTAAGAATAATATATATATATATATACACACATACGTTCTTTGTAGGCAGAGAAAATTCACGAGAGAAGGAAGAGTGGATAAAAAAAATGGCGAAGATAGGACACATATAGTTGGTGGCTACTGGTCGTGCAGACTCTTGAGTGGAACGGACTTATCCGGATGGGCAATAAGTATAGAAAGAGATTGTTTTGCAGGCCACGTGTGACGTCAGGGCTTTCGATATACATATGTCGGAACCGTGGCACGTGGTGATGTCACGGCGGCTTCCTGGCGTCGAGGGCGGCCTTATTGGCGAGCGCCACGTGAGAGATCGCCGCCCGGCTAAATCCCCCCAGATCCCTCGTTCGCGGATTGTTAAGAACGGCTTTACGAGGATAAAGCCGTACGGCTGACGGTTTTAGCCGTAGCAAACAGCCACGCATCCACCACGACAAAAATAGCGGCTAATGGCTCCGATTGCCGATCGTGGTTTCCCTTCTCTCTCTTTCTTTCCTTTCCCCCCGTCGCAGTTTCTTCGCTGGGCAAGAAGTAGAGGAGCCTCTCGTGCCCCCCTTTTTTAAACCTCTTTTTATCCCTTTTTATCTCTGCCTCCTCTTCGCACTATTTTTATTACCTCCTTTTTTTAACCTTTCTCACTTTTTTTTTCTTCTTTTTCTCATCGTCAAGAGAGAGAGAGAAAACGAAATATATATCTGCTGGGGAAATCCCGACGACTTGTTTACGTCCCCCCGACGGCGTCGTAGCGCTACGGAAACGTCGACGGGCTGACCTTTTGTTTCCAGCAACTTCCGCCGGAAGTGAACTCGTTGATACTCCAGGCGAAGGGGATACCAAAATAATAAACCACAGCCGATTGATTCTTTGCTTCTCTCTTCTTCCACGATACATATTGCTTGATACGGATACGGTGATCCCGCAGAGGATCATCATCCTGATGGAGGAAAACGTCTTGTCCAGGAACGATCGACGAAGAAAGATGCTCCAGGTGAAAATAGCAGCGAGCAAACGAGTGTATGGACGCGACAGCAGGAGCTAGAGGAGAAAAGCCCAAGACGTACGGGGCAGGCGAGAAGGGAGGGAGGCACTGAGTCTCTCAGCGACACCGGCCATTCCGCGAAGTGTACTATATGACTGCCCGGTTAATAAATCCTCGCGCAGCAAAACAGAGAGCAGCTCTATACAATGCATCCTGGCAGTCATTCACGTGGGAATATCCGCAGAGCGTAGATCGCCAGAAGTCACAAGGGATGTTTTGGTAGAGGTTAGTAATTTTTTTTTTCACTTATACCTGCCAACCAGACCGAGGGTGGTACCCCTGATGCTTTATTTACTTAATCCATATCTTTTTGTTTTCAGAAGCTCTAGAAAGTATCAGACGTCTGGCACACGGGTAACAGAGAGGTATAAAAAAACTGGTATAAAAGGAAGTTGCAAGAAAAAAAAACAATAAGGAGGAGTAGGACATACGATGCATCGGTCCGCCACGATCGGGGAGTTTGAGGTTTCGAAGCGTCGCGAGGCGTCTCTGTGAGAGCTGGCAGCCTTCCAAGGAGTGAAGCTGACTCGGTTGGAGAAGGTGGCGAAGAAGCAGAAGAAGCAGAGGGCAGTGAGGGTGTGTTGGAGAAAGAGAGAAAGAGAGAGAGAGAGAGAGAGAGAGGGTGTCTAGCAGAGAAAGGAAGCAGGAGAGGTAACCGTAGCGACTCGGAGGCAGACGAGTGGAAGCGTTAGAGCCACAGAGGGGTTCTGTGTGGCACACGGCATACGGACTACAGGGTGTCTAGCAGAGAAAGGAAGCAGGAAGAAGCAGAGGGCAGTGAGGGTGTGTTGGAGAAAGAGAGAAAGAGAGAGAGAGAGAGAGAGAGAGGGTGTCTAGCAGAGAAAGGAAGCAGGAGAGGTAACCGTAGCGACTCGGAGGCAGACGAGTGGAAGCGTTAGAGCCACAGAGGGGTTCTGTGTGGCACACGGCATACGGACTACGATGTATTTTTACTCCGGACATCACGGCGCCGGACAACTCGTAAATAGACACTCTCGCACCGCCTCTGCCCTCAGCCTCCGCGTTTCGTACACGGCCATCCCTCTGAGACCTATCTCGATCCCTCACTCGAGGCCACTAGAAGAGAGAGAGAGAGGATCCGCCACCTAATTCAAGAAGGACTCACCCCACGTTATACTTCCGGTCGATACTCTACTCCCGGAAGAAGAGCCTTCCTCGAAGTAGAATCATCGTCAAGTAAACCACTCACTCATTGGGACGCTCTTGTCGCTTATCATTCGTACAAGGAGATAACATTGTCTTTATGGCACTTCTATACTTCGTATAGTCCATGTTTGATTATTACTGGCAACTGTAAATGGCTGCGTAGACTGACCTTTGAAATTCTTTTTTAATTCAGCCTCTCTCTCTCTCTCTCCTTCTTCTCTTTTCCTCTGAAACTGTCATTGGGATACGCGTACTAATTGCCAAGGTGATCAATGACGACAGATACACCGAGGACCTCAGGAAGCGTTTGCACGAGAATACACAGTACACAGACGGGAGACGCGCCTTGAACTTTTCGATAGGATCGTCTATACGGTAGACAAGATTTATCCTCGGATCTGGCATTCGGCGTGGCAGCGTGCGATACAGGCTGATACTACCTTGGTTACAGGTGTGCCCGGGGTCTTTAGCCTCGGCATGGCGAAATAACAGTGACAAGTGCCGCGGCCGGTCAAGATCAAAGCGCTATGGATTCAAACGTGTCCCTCTCTTTCCGCCATACCTCTACGTCCACGCTGTAGTATAATCCGTTCTATGTTACACTCCGTACACGAAAATCCATCCATTAACGCCTAATGCCTAATGTATATACCTTTCAGGAAACTCTACGTATACTTAAGAACGCACGATTCTACCTTGAGGTTATAATACCGGCTGCCGATGCTTATTTGAATTCGTGGAACTGCTGGGTTATTTACAGGTATACCAGCATTACTACTGTATCCACTGATTCTTCCAGCGTCTCGTGCCACGTCGCAAATATACGCACGTTTCGACACGTGTGGACGCACACGTAGCGACTCTCACGCAATGTCTCTTTCGAAGCCAGTAGCGTAGTGTATGTACACGCGACCCTGGACATAACGGCCGACTGTTTGTCCCCTGTCCAGAAGACTTTCACCCACCTGGAGACTGGCGTTACCTTCGAAAAATACGCGTTCTAAAGGAATTCGAGAAAAACGAAGCTTCGCCAAGTGTATCGACAAGAGGTAATAGGTAATGGCGTCCTTTAAGATTTTATTGATTAGCGATCCCCCTGTCATTTATTTTCATGCGAACGACTGTTTTCGCGTGTCGGGATAGTCGGGCTCTGATCCTTTACTTTAACCTCGTACAGCGAGAGCCAGTTAAATTTTCATGAAAATTCTTCTATTCGTCTTTCAGGTTGCTCGTAGTTTCGTCCGATGCTAAATTAACTTCGATCAAACCCCCTTTTGGCGGTGGCAGATCAAAGAAGGCAAAATCTAAAGATGTAATTGGACGGATGGACAGCCGGTTTCGCGGTATCCGTTACTCCTCTATCTAGGCGCGGGCAAATGGGAATTATTGTGAATCGCGAATAACGGTGTCATCGACGGTGCTGAATTTGCGATTTCGCTCGGATCTACCAGGGCCCACATCTTCATTTCCTTGAAATTGATGATCGTACGCGATACAGACCTCTCCTCGTTAACTGAACTCCGACGTCGGTACCTCTTGTGGCTGTTAAAAGAGAGACGGGGGAAAGGAAGATAAAAAAAGAAGTAAAGCTTTCCTGTCCTTTAACAAGATTCGGAATATGTACTTGCTTGCCGACTGGTAATACGAGTGTCAGAAGAAAAAAAAAACGTCTAGGGAATGGCACTGCCGACGCATCCGAAGTGGCAGACAAATAAATTGAGACTTTACAGTAAATAAACGAATTACGTTACCGGTACGATTAAATAAACTTTTGGCACCAGTCAAAATTCATCCAGTACCTTCTTGTATCTTAGTAGCCACGTACCAAAATCATTCTCTCTCCTTCTTAAACTTCAAAAAAGAAATTGGACTCGATTATTTTCAGTTGAATCTCTGTTAGGTGAATGCTTATACGCTTCTGGGTTAGAGAGTCTAGCTAGGGCTGGAAATTGCGATGAATCAATGCCAGAGTGAGTCAGTACGTTAATAGCGAGGCTATCTCGTGTACACTCGGCCTTATAAACTAGTCCAGTGATATTAAGAAGGCACAGATGCCACCTCGGTCTAGAAGGCTACAGTCATCCTGACAATAATAAGTTTCCAGATGATGATGATCCGGACGCAACTGTAATAGATCTTGAGCCAGCTCCGATAATGTCTGCTAACTGTAAAGAAAAAGAAGGAAAGGGAGATAAAAGAAAGACAAGGAAGAACAAGATTCACGCAATTTTCTGATGGCATTCGCCTCGAGTCCAATGGAAGTAGGCTTCTTCGTATCGTTGAAGTCGTTCATTATCGGTAAAATTTCCACGTCGCCCGTGACAATACGACAAACAGGTATGCAAGCAAGTACCTCAGTATGTGAACGCGCAACGTGTCTGATATCAGCTTAGGTGTGCTCATACGTTTATATGCTTATATGCCTGTACGATACCTCCAACCTGGAGTAAAACTGTTGGATGTTGCACCGGAGCCGTTTATCAGGTGGAGGTATGTATATGGCTCTTGGGTGAGTAAATACAAGGAACGTGCTGGTTGGCAAACAAAAAAAGCTCGTGACGCCGAGTAAAGTTTAAACCCGATCCTTCCTGAAGCTGCTGAGTGTGCAGGTGGGAATTGTCCGACGTTTGTAGGTTAGAGATGGCAGACGTGAACGGCGAGCGAAAGAAAGGCGGACCCAAGAAAAGAAAAGATCTTAAGAGATGTTCTCTTAGGTTGTAATGAAATTCGTTCAGAGGATAATACCAGGACTCTCTTTGGGATCGGTAGGTCTCTCACGAATTTTCTCTTCTCTTTTTTCTTTCTTTAACTTCTTCTTCTTCTTCTTCTTCAGGGGCAGGTAGCCACGACCTGACGCAGAGAGGTTCGCAGGTGAACAGGGACGCATAGTGTAAAAGTGGAACCCTGGTTTACTAGGTAAAAAGGGATGTGTACCTGTGTGCCTGGTTTTTTTTCTCTTAATTTTTTTTTTCCTCTCCCTCCAAATCGTCCTTTGTCCAGGAGCATCCGTTCCGGTTTTCGACGCAGGTGAAAATCCTTGAGGATGCTTGGGTAGGGTATTCCAGGACCCGGCGAAGTTCTGGCTTGATCTTTGCAGGTACTTTTGCTCTGGGTATAGTAGCAGTTCTTGCTAAGCTTTAGATTTTTCTTTTTTCTTTCTTCCCTTTCTCTCACTTGGCTGTCTTTGAGGCGTATCTTTGAGAGAAGATCTTGAGCCGATAGTACTACGGATTAGTGACTCGTTGAAAGATGAATGAATTTCTCTCTCGTGGGAAACGGCCTTCCCAAGGATTTCGCGCAACAGGTGACGCATGGCTCTCTCAGAAGAAAGGAACCGCTCGTGTATCCGGCATGGAGACGTCGAGAGTTCAATCAAGCGAAATAAAATGGTGTTGTAACGAAATACATGTTACGCGGAGACACTCTATACCCTTAAGAGAAGGATTGTGGAACGCGGCTACGAGGAGAAAGGACTCGTCCCTGATTGCTACATAGGAGTACGTCGTTCCTTGCCACTTCAAGTAACTAGGAATTCCTCAATGATAAAAGGGTGTGCCCGGATCGCGAAGTACCGCATTGAGAATCCCGTGTAAGGTAGCTCTGACTGGCGCCATGTAAAATAGAAATGAGGAATCTTGTAAGATGCTCCAAAAGTGTGCGAATGGACGCATCGACGCGCTAAGGAAGTTTCCCACGACAGGTGACACGTGGGAATCCTGGGTGGTGCAGGTGGTGGATCGCCATGGGAGCATCTTGTGGTGGGGATTTTAGCCTGCAGGAAGATCAGGGACGGAGCCAGATTACGAGTCCAATATACCGTAGAAGGTAGGAGATAAGAAAAGGATAATGGAGGAAGATAAAGAAAGACCTAGGGTGGTCCAGGATAAGAGTCGAATAAGTATAGACTCACTTGAGGAAGTATATCTGACCCTCTGGAGTGCGTGCCTGTTCCCACCCATGAGGTAGCGGACCCAAATCGTCAACGGTGCTGATGACGTCGTAGCTGCGCTGTTTCTGATGATGATGATGCCTAGCATGAGGTTGTGGAGCGTGCTGCGGTGCCTGTTGTGCCGATGCGTACGTTTGCTGAAGGGATGCTGGGCTGCTGTGCGCCCTAGGATGAGCTACGGTGAGACCAGCGGCCCCAGCAGCACCCGCGACTGCTGCCGCCCCTGAAGCACCTCCCGCAGTACCAGTTGCACCGGCCGAGCCTCCCGGTGCAGCAGTGCCAGCTGCACTGCCACCAACCGCAACTACAGCGGCCGTACCGAAGGCCGAGTCCGCGGAATTCTCCCGCGAATGCGAAATCGAGGGACTCTTGCTGCCCGTCGACGGGGGATTGAAAAATGAGTCTGGCAGATTGCGCATACGCAGTGGTACCTGAAGTGGCCGCTTCGAGTCCGGCTTCAGGACGCTGTCGAAAAGGGCCTGTAGATCCGATTCAGAGTTCTGATCAATTCTAACGACCAGATTACTCTTGGACAATTGTTCGACGCCGTCCTGGTTCAACGCCATTTTGGATCCGTCTTTCTGCCGAGGAGGCAGTGTATCTGGCTCTCTTAGGATAGAATCTTTCTCGTACTCGGCTATACCTAGATGCTCCTCCTCACGTATAAGTATACATGTAGCCAAGATGCTGTCTCTCCTTGCTTCTTTTTCTTCTTCTTTCTTCTCCTTCGGCCACTCGACCCTCTCTCTCCCTCTCCTACTCACTCACACCTCCGGTTGACTCTCTCGCTGCTGACTCGTGCACACTCAACTTCACTATACACTTCCACACCACTAATTCTTCTCTTCTCCCTTACTAGCTTAGTAAGCGAGCGTTCGCGACCTCCTCTTCTTCAATTCCTTTACCTTCTCTTCGTCTTCCTCTTCTTTCTCCACATTCAACGCTGCTGACACCACCACCGCCACCGCCACCGCCACCACCACCGCCGACGACAACGAGGAAACCTCCTCTGCTACCTCCAGCACTGTCTTCTCCTCCTCTCGGTGTGAGACAACAAAACAAGCAGTAGGACAATACTGCTGTTGCTGCCGCCACTGCCGCTTCTAAGACCCTTCGCGGATCTTTCCCACCGTGACTTCTATAACCTCGCGCTTGCAACTTTACCTAATTCTCCTAGTTATACATTTATACCTTCCTACTCCAATTCGCTGATTACAAACATGCGACAGCGACGCAACGGTACAATAAGCCTTAACCAAGTACTCTCCCTCCGTTAATCGAACTCTCGTAGCATACTCTCTAGAGTTGCTAGAACCATGTACTTCCTGGCTTAGTATTTTTGTACTATCCAAGAGCATCCAGTATACCTTCTTTAAGTCTCTCCGTATAGGAGATACTAGCTATATTTTCTTTTTATTTCTTCTTCTTCCTCCTATTCTATCTCCCAGCTTCGTTCTACGTAAAGGCACTTTTCGGATTCTTAACTATTATAGCACTTCTGAAAAGGCACTGTGCTCTGCTACCTCTTTCTCTCTCTCTCTCTCTCTCTCTCTGAATGCTCGTCAGCGTCAGCGGTGGCCGCCCGTTCCGTAATAATCACGATCGCTCCTGGCTCGGCCAGACGGACGGAATAGCGCCGGACATTAAAGCACCTTAGTAGAACTCGACACTCGAGCAACAGGGCTAGCACTAGGTATACACAGGTCCCACCGATACGCCCCTTCAGGACGCTTTGGGAGGACGACACTGAACGCGCACCAAGGAACACGAGTTGTCGTACTACGTAGGCAGACAAGCACCAACCAGCCACTCCAGACAGACAGCTACTAGTCGTTCTGCCGCGAGTCGCTACCCTACGCACGTCGCCGGAGCGCCGAGCCGAGCCAAGGCGAGGCGTGTTGGCCTGTTGCTCTTTCTTGGCAACGACAGGGATCCCGGTAGGGACGTAGAAGGGGATTTGTTAAGCTGTATTTAGAAAGGACGATCAGTTAACAGAGTATAGAGAGCCATTGGTGGATCTTACCTTGAGATAGGAGAAAGGTTATGTATCCTTGTCTAGATTCCAGGTACTCAAACAGATCCTTACTTTAGGATGTACTTGGAACGAGTCCTTGGATCAGAACGTCTTATAGATCCTGTATGGCTTGGGAATGCTGCTGGAAGTAGGGAAGGTATTTTTTATGGTTTTGCATTGCTGAGGTACTTGTGTATTTTTGTGGGACTGGTGGGATGCTCTTTGGAAACTTGCCTTAAAGTAGTACTCTCCGGAGAGGATGCCATTTTAGTCGGTTCGGGAACGCGCAATGGACTCGGCTATCTAGAGAGAACGATGGTCGATGCTTTCGATATTTCAGTTGTGGTTAAATTAATTTATCGTCGAAAATGTAATATCAATTATTTGAATTGACTATGTTTTGATAAACAGGATAAAGTCTATGTTGTCCGCGTTTAGTTGCACGTGTATATACTGAATGGGGTTTTGTTCAAGCGACATCACGCTGACATAAAAACGAAGATGTCTTCTAAGAGGTATTTAATTAATTGTTTTCAATCGACGTTTCCAAATTTGTACTGGGGACTGAGTTCTGTTTACCCGTCTTATATTTTTATTACGTGAAACCTATGATATTCTTCGTGTCATTTTAGGTATTTGTCTTTAGAAAATCGACACGTTCAAAGATATACCTTCATTTCTTTGTTAACCTGCATTGGTTCTCTTGCCAAGAGTTACTTTGAGTGTTAAATCCTTTATTTTTTTCGTACATGGCCATCGTCTGCCATTTTAAACTGTATCCTGGCATATTTAATGTAGGATTTTTTAATCATTTACTATCTTATGGATTATGCAAAGAGGACTTTTACTTTAATGTCAATATTTGAGTCTGTAATGATTATGTCAAACATTGCATGAAAATCTTTGCCATTGGTTCATTCTTGAAATAAAATCGTTATTTTTATGTATTAGGAAGCGAGGAAACTTTCCTTGGTTCTATTTTATGTGTTTGCCATTCTTTACTTTTTTCAGTGAATTAAAGAAGTTGTCTGAGGAGAGCTTGACAAGACAACCTGAAGAAGTATTTGATATTATATGCAAACTTGGCGAAGGGTAAGTTTCCTGGGTTGTGTATAGGTAATCATTCTGAGAGTGATATTTTTTGTATTTTTATTTCACATAATAGATCCTATGGATCCGTGTACAAGGCATTACATAAGGAGAGTGGACAGGTACTCGCTATTAAGCAGGTACCTGTGGACACTGATTTGCAAGAAATCATCAAGGAAATCTCGATTATGCAGCAGTGCGATTCTCCATACGTTGTCAAGTATTACGGAAGCTATTTCAAAAATACTGATTTATGGGTATGTATTTCAGAGTTCAATCGTTATCCTCCCATTATTGATAAATATTAATTCTTTTTTAGATCGTGATGGAATACTGTGGGGCTGGATCCGTGAGTGACATTATGAGGTTAAGAAAAAAGACACTGCAGGAAGATGAAATAGCTACGATCCTAAGTGACACCCTTAAAGGCCTAGAATATCTCCATCTCAGACGAAAAATTCACAGGGATATTAAGGCTGGCAATATATTGCTCAATAACGAAGGTCATGCTAAGTTGGCAGACTTTGGAGTAGCAGGACAATTAACAGTGAGTATTAGAATTACGTTGTCATTACATAAAAACTTTATAAATAAATGCCTTCCAGGATACCATGGCCAAGCGCAATACTGTAATCGGTACCCCATTCTGGATGGCACCGGAAGTTATCCAAGAAATTGGATACGATTGTGTCGCAGATATTTGGTCACTGGGTATAACTGCCTTGGAAATGGCAGAAGGAAAACCTCCATACGGCGATATCCATCCTATGAGAGCTATTTTCATGATACCCACTAAACCACCACCTAGCTTTAGGGAACCTGATCAATGGAGTCCAGAATTCATTGACTTTGTCAGCGGATGCCTTGTTAAAAATCCGGAAGAACGAGCGACAGCAACTGAGCTCTTGAGTCATGAGTTCATAGGTGGTTAGAAAAACTCTTTATTATGTCAAGACGTCACGGATTCTCATTTATTTATTCTCTCATATTCTTCCCCTAAAATTGTTCATGTATTTCATAATATACGTCATCACAGGTAATGCCAAGCAACCAAGTATTCTCAGTCAAATGATTGCCGAAGCACATGAGATTCGTGAGAAGCAAAGTGCCCACCGGGCGCACGTAATCAATAACGTGGCAATCAAGGGACAAAATCATGCTGATGATTCAGTAAGATTTATTATTAATATTTCCAGTAAATTTAATATTCGTGCAATGATCTTCCATCAAAATCTTATATCTTCCTTCTGCCAGGACGAAGAGGATTGCAGTGGAACCATGAAACCTCTACCGGAAGACACTGGTACTCTGGTTCCTAGTCATGACCTTCCGGATACCGGAACTCTTGTTTCAGCCATGTTGGATCTTGGTACTATGGTTATAAACAGTGATACCGATACCGAAGCGACAATGAAAAGTAAATGAATACAAATTCTGTACCATCGTTCATTCTGGAACTGTGTGAAATAACCTGTACATTGACTTTCAGGGCACAACACTGGATCGGTAGAATCTGGGAAAAAATATCGACCATTGTTCTTGGATCACTTCGACAAGAAGGAAGCAACCGAAATCGGAAAGGTACGGTCCTCCAGTATTAAATAATTATTTACAATAAATTGAAGTTACTTTAACGAAGCGCATTTTGCTTCAGGGAAATGGACAGATTTTGAGTGGACTCAATCCGGAAGCCGAGAACAAATTAGAAATCCAGAGTCCAACAGAATCTCAAAGGTTTCAGAGCCATCTACAACTACAACTCAATCAGATCTCACAGCCGGTACAGGAACAACCGCACAACAACATATCCAAGTTTCAAAATGCCTTCACGGAACGCGATTTTGATTTTGTAAGTAACCATTTCTTTCTTTCAATACAATTTTTATATTCGTAATATCTTTGCCAACGATTCTCAACGTAATCAGCTAAATATTTGTATAAGCCGAGTATAACGGACTCTTAGAGATTGGGCTTTCAAGTAATATTTCTAACGCCACGATAGGCATCATGACAAACATTAAATATTAGATAAACAACCATGTCCTCCAGCTGAAGTTCCTCTCGTACGAGGAACTGCAGCAACGCATGGCCAGTCTGGATGCAGAAATGGAACGTGAAATAGACGAACTCAGGAGAAGGTATCAAACGAAGAGACAGCCAATTCTCGATGCCATGGATACCAAGCGTAAGCGCCAGCAGAACTTCTAACGGTTTGGTATTTTTTTTTTACATGAAAACGAAAAAAACAAAAAAATACGAGTGTGATAGATAAAAGGGTGTACAGTTGTATAAATGAATAGATTTTATTCTACGATCTAATACCTAGTTACGTCAAAGGGTGGTTAACATTGATCGCAATAAATACTGCACCGACAGTTCTACGTAATTTCATCTCTGTAAGTAGAAACGCTTGTTTTCTTACTCGCCATTTTGGCAATCGATATCAAACTTCTCTTTCTTCCTCTGACTTTCCTTACCCAATCTGAATCAATGGTACCCTCTCTTTGCGGAATTAGGGAATTTAGCGAATACTAGCCAATAGCCTTACGTCACCAATGTAAATTATTTTACACAATTGTAGCGAAGTGAATTCTACTATACTTAAATTTTCCTATTTTTTTTTCTTTATTCTTTATTAATTACGTTAACGTAGTTATTATTAAATACTATTCTTCTAGATATATATAACGGAACGTAGAAACGCTTAGAGGTTTAACAAAAAAAAATATAAGAGATCGCAATTCGACGATTGCATTGGAAACACGGAGAGGAACGAGAGCCAGGTTTTTACACGAATATATTTTTCCAAATTACTATTTACAAATTAATCACAAAAAGGACCTAGTAACCAGTCGACACTTTTTTCGTCAGCAGCTCGTTAGGGGATGGAGTGTCCACGTCACTGCGCGACGCTGACCTGAATAAAATCAAGCACGAGGAACTTGCAACACGATAGACTTTCTCGTAAGAGCAATCTCAAGAATCACCCCTCCAAGGACAAAATTTACCAAGTGGGGAGGATAAAAAAAAAGGATATTTAAAATCTAATTCCGCAGTGACGTTGACGTCCAGACATTCTCGAGCCTGTATCCGAAATGGACGTTTCAATCACCTGGATTAGATTTATTTAGTTGAACTATAGTTAAAAAATATCTTACGTAATTATACGCAATCGCAAGGTAGATCTCCGTCAAGGATAATTTCACTCGTCTAGAGCTGTACGGAACCGCGTTCTCCCTTTTCTCTCTTATTATTTTCTCTTTCCTCGATTCGCTTCCTAATCTTACTGCCATACATAGATTTATAATACGCAAGTCCGCTAATGAGGTTTTTTTAGCGTTAGCTCGAATTAAATTGTAACGACTACCGACATTAATTATTCGTTCGCACTAATTAAAACGGACGCGCTACAAGTATTATATATACAAACGTCGTGAGTTCTTTTTTTTTTGGCAAAAGGTAGCCGCCCAATTATTATATTAGGCGCTACGATTGGCAGAATATAGTAAACGATGACAATGCGAGATAATGATTTCAGACATCAGCTGAAACTAGTCTTCCCGTTATAACGCGCTCGAAACTTTCTCCAATTACCATTTGCCTATTATTATTACACAGTGCACCGACGTATGGGCAATTAACGAAAATTATTTTTATACATTTTCTTGCGAGCACTGCGAATAAGCCTTCTTTACGAGATATTCTCGTTACTCTTATTTTCTTTTTTCTTTTTCTAATTCACATCTCAGCTCGCAACGATCATTGTATTCTTTTTTTCGTATTTGGCATTGATATTTTTCTTTCGATGTACCGTCACTTAAACCGTTATACATTTGTACAAGTATTTCTTGCCCGCTTTCAATGACGCGTCACATTACAAGACTCATAAGCAATAGTTATTTAGCATGATTATTGAAAAAAGAAAATGAACATGAATTACTTACTGTACTAATAACCTATTCGTAAGGTAGGCAATGTCGCTCGTTTAGGATGGGGCATCCGAAGTAATTCTTTGTTGACGTTTGGCTATTTTATACGTAGCAAATACAATAGAATTATTATACTTAATTCCTATAGCCAGAACTGACCTTACTCTTACGTTCATTTAGGAAAATAATCGTACAGAAAAATAATGATAACGACATATTTTTGATATAGAAGTTATGCGCCCGTGCTGGCCATACCAATGAGATCTGAATTGAAATTATTTATTATTGAGACAATTTAGGGCTCGTGCGAGAGCTCTAACTGCAATTGAGAAGGGAAACGAAAAAGAGATAATGAAAATAGAGAAGAAATAACATATTAAGGACACACAGAAATAATTAACAGAGGACGGGGTAAAGCGCGTTAACGTTTTATTTGAGAACGTTATAAATTATAATGTGGCTTTTTATCGTTGCCCTTAGAAACAAAGTGAGAGTCTTGGAAATGTTTTATTTCCATCTCTCTCACTCTCGTCTATCGTTAAATAAAGAACAAAGCATTCTTTTAATTATTCAACTGTGATGGAACCTCTACTACTTTCATTCACTCTGATTAATCGACTGAAATAGAAACGCACTGTATACGCTCTTATTGTACGTGCCAGTTTCCTTTTTCTTTTTTATTATTTTTTACTTGTCAATATTTTTCTCTAGTTAAGGAAAGAGATAAAAAGATCAACCTTTCGTATTTTATTAGCGTATTCGCAGAGCCACCAACCCCTAGTTATGTAAATCTTTCGTGTTGGTATGTTCGTTATAATTGCGCAACGCCATTTTACTATTAATCTACGTCGCGAGCCATAAAGCAGACATACGAGTGTTTGCTTTTGTTTCTCTCTGTTATTTTTTCTTTTTAATGTAAAAACAAATTTATCGACCTCCAGCGTCTCTTTACATTTAAATGTCACGCTGGACATGCGGTGTAACGATTCTCAGAGGATGAAGATGGTCGTCCTATGGCGCGAAATTTAAATTATCAGGATCGCGGGGAGAGGAGGGTTATAGTCATTTAATTAATTAAACTCTTTGAATTTTGTACGAGATTAAAAGTTGGATGGTAACAAGAACAAAAAATGTCCGGTTTTAAACCGGCCGGAAATAAAATGTTGCGAACGTGTGCATTTACCTTTACAGTTGACATCGCCCAACTAACATTATTACGAGTAATGATAAGCCTTTCTTAGAAAGCTGGGATATGTATTTCATAGGAGTGACTTAGTGGAGATACGATTTTTATTTTTTCACTAATAAAACCTGGCTTTGTATCTTACGTACGTTCATACAATCATTCTTCTTCTTCTTCTTACTTTATTATAAAAATATTTGTTTTGATGAAGCCATCTTCCTTGTGATCTTTACTAATTAACGTACCTCTTACATTATTTTTAATAATAATAAACTTATACCTTAATCCGTTTAAGTTTAACGGCTTAGTGCGAAGTTGGCAATTAACATTTTTTCCTTCATAATTATTTTGACACTTGGAATTATTTTTATGGCCAACCAAGTTCATTCATTAGCACCGAATAATATATTTAAGAAATGCTTAAGCTGCTTAATGAGTATTTCTTTGTTGTTAATTGTTAAAGTATTTCCTTGTGGAATCATTGTAACAATAACAATTTTAATTGAGAGTATTTTTTCTTAGTCAATCCCATCATCCGATGAGGATAATATTTAAAAGTTAAACTTGTCCCTTGTTTTCGTACAATATTATATGGTAAAATATACAAATTGCACGCTCTTGTTCTTATATTTCCACTGTGCGTGCACCAAATAATCATAGATAGTACAGTGTACGCAGCATCATTGAAGTGTCATTTGGATCGTAAGGTCCAAGTGAATAAATAAAAAAAATTGATATGTCTAATTCGCTTTCTAAAAGATCTTCAAATGATGCTGTGAACTTTCGTACGGAATATGACTGTAACGCTATATCCTATAATAATAATAATAGCTAATGGCGACTTGCTTCTTTATCTTCTAGTTCTAATCTTGCTGATTACTTTGTGCTTTTTGTGTTGGATCGCGTCGCCATTGGCCAAACGAACGGAGACTTGTTCTCAGTAGGACGCAATGTGCAGTGAATTTTTCTTGGACGGGTAGCTTGACTTTCTGGTCGAGGTGAAGTTGAGTACTTTTGGCACAGATTACATAGAATTAAATTGCAATAGGATTATGAAGTGAAACGAGTATATGGGATATCGTTTTTGGAATGTTAAAGTTATGTGGCAGGCTTTATAGCTTTGATTAGAAATGATTAGTGAATATTTTTGCAATAATTTTGAATGTTTAGAAGAATCATTGAGATACCAGTAAGAATATTGGTCTTCGAGGTTTCTAGAATTAGATCATTTTTGGATCGATAGGTTTCCCTGAAATTCTGATATGTTCTGGTATCTTTGACGATGTACTGTGCTGTTGAGAAATTAATTTGTGCTTGAAGTACTTTTCCCTTAGAAATAAAAAAGGGTCTAGAGAATCTGATAACCTACTTTAAAGGTCATCGTCACCTATCATATGAAAGGCATTGTTCTCCATAGTATCACAATTAGTCTTTTTCCTGTCTATCTTGACAACAGTCCTCTTAACGTCTGCCGATTTTTTCGTCGTGATGGATGACAGCCTTTCCGTTAACTTTCTCATTATTGGCTCTGGCTTGCCGGAACTATTGATATCCTCATCCTGGAAACATTTAATGTCTTACTCATTGCATCTGATTTTAAAGATTGTTACTGAATTCCATACATCCTGTATCGCACTCAAGTTGTCCATAGAGGAAGATCCCATGACAATTGTACTGACACCGTCTCTCATGATGTAAGTCCATGTTTTTCCAGACACCTCCTGTGTAGAGTTATTAAAGTACAAATCAGTTTATCTTAGAATCAACTTTTAGATATGTTCATTTGAAAAGATATCAATACCTGGCTTTTACTTCCTCCTACATTCTTTATTAACAACTCATCGATCATTGCTTGTAGGCAAACTGACATTAGGATGGCTTGCTCCGAAGTTATAGTGATCCATTGCAATTGATTTCTGGCCATGAGGTATTCGAAAGACAATTCCAAACTGCAATCACTATTATCTTCTATCTTATCTGCACCCTGTAGATTTAGATTTAACTATCACGGCTCCAAACGAAGTATTTCATTTTAAAAAATATCTTGGTATTCTCACATTGTGCAAAGTTGTGATGCGCCAGCAGTGCATACGGGTAATCTTGAAAGTAGTCTCAGACTCTTTGTCATTTGTTTCTAAAATTCGTAAATTCAATTCATGCTTTCCCATGGCCACCAAAACGCGGCAACCTGGCTGGGGATAATCGCAGTAGCATGGTGCGAATTGAACGTACCCATAATATTTAAGTGACTGTGCAATATCCAAATACTGTAAAAGAATTTTATAAAATTAATAATAGAAAAGCAGTATGGCTAACAATTTTTGAGTCAATTGTACCTGTGCTTTGTCGCCATTGTCTTGTAAATGGTTCAGACGATCACGCATTTCACTTGATATTGGTATCCAGCCTCTATTAATTTCAGCAGCCGCCTGCATTTGCAGTAAATTTATTGCTACAGGATCATTCATCAATTCTAAATCGTACCCAGGATCCCAGTAACTTTTTCCTAGAACCACTCTCATTCCTGTGGCATGCAAGTTCTTTTGTGTTATTATAGGAGATTCAAAGTCTTGTAATTTGCGTACAACTGTAAAAGATTGTATTTCTTTTATTACATGTAAAAGGTAAGTGGAATATATTATTTATAATTTCTTACTGTTAACGGTACCATCGTCCTCATGGCACATGATAAACAGTGAGAAGTAAGAAACATATTGATCTGGTAGTTTGATATGTCGACAAAGTTTCTGTAAAAAAAACAAACATGAGGATACTTATACTGTTCTTACTATTTAATGAATATTTCGCATGATCGATAAACATACCCTTAAAACTTGACCAGAATTTTCACCAGCTGAGACACTCAGTATGATTTTACAGTCATTCATGAGGTACACATCTAAGCTTTGATTTTCAGTTGATTCACCAGCAGTCTCTAGTTGCGCATTGAGCAAAAAACCATTTAATAATTCACAGTTATTAATGGACGAGTTTTGTCCAATCGTTTGAATATATTTCTCTAATGAAAATCTCCTCTCTTCCTGTTGAGTTATTGTAAGAGGAAACAATTTTTTTGGAGGAAATGGTGGTAAAGGTACATCCAAATCCTTCATCAATTGTTTATGTAAATTGTGTAGCTGCTTATATCGAACAGTACAATGATACAGCCCATTGATATGTACATTATATCCCTGTAGAATTCAAATAAGTAATTACTCAGCCAAATCACAATATCCAACACCAAGTGACTTACCAGATATGCATTGCCAGTAGTTTCGATGAATTCTTGTGTATCAGGAATGGAAAAATGCATTTTTCCAAGTTGTTTAAATTTAAGTTCCACTCATTTAAAAGGGAATAATCATAAATGATTCTTTTTTTCTTTAATTTTTGGTGTCCACCATCTAGATCATTGGTAAATGATTTAAAATCCACTTCAACATAAAGAATACACAGATTCTCTCCAGTGACACATAAAGGATTATATCTCAGCAACAATGGGGAACCTGTAAATAAAGCTATACTAATAAATTTTTTCTATCTAGGTTACACTATCCTCCCAAAGGAAGAAACACGGTATGTCTCATAACATCTTTCTCACCTCCTAAATATGATCCTGCCACACACTGGAATACTGGAATGAATCTGACAGCTGACAGTCAACTGTGCCACACACCCACTTGAGATTTCATGAGACTCCCACGCTGACGCATACTTTCCTCTTGGAATTTCTACACCATTGAAACTAGCATTGTCAATCGTTAATAAGAACTCTCGAATTGTCAGTTCACATAGGAGAAAGTAACAGCCGGCATAAATCCAGGATCAGGAAGGATCAAGCGTCTAAAGGCAGGAGCGCCCAGTCGCCCATGCCTTCTCGTTTAGTAAGAGGAAACGATAATTGCAATTTCGTTTTCCATTACATAAATGTATTCTGGCTAATGGAAAGTCATTTTAATCGTTACTTCTCAGATAATCAGACGTCCGTCGCTTAGCTCGGATATCGTCGGACATAATGTAAAGACTTGCGCGCTGGTGGGGATAGATTCATTCGAGGCCTTACACAACTCTAGCGCTTCGCTTCGGAGCAGAGCATATGTAGGATGGCTACGGGTGGCTACAATTCAGAGAAGGAATAGGGAGATGCAAAACCCTACGGTTATAGAAAATATCAAACTCATGACGCTAAATCGTAGCGGCGAGTCTGGAAGTAAGATTTTGTGATCATCGCCTCTGCCGACAATGCGAATCTCGTCGTAGCCGAGCTAAACGTGAACACGAACGCGTAGCTTGGCGGGCAGAGGTTCTCCGCTACTCGCCGCTGATTCCCAAAGCAATCCTTAAAACGAGACCGGGAAATATAGACCTTCTCAAGAACTATTGAAAAAGCCTATTGTTGAAACATTCTTAAGACATTTTTAAGAAAGTACAGTTCCAAGTTCACACCCGTGTAACACCTCCATTTTTCAAAATATTGGATCTTGGCTTACTTTCAAAATTTATTCAAGACATAAAATTAAAGCTAGATCAAAATCTCGCAAAATCTACGGAGTAGATAAAAGTTGAATTGAAATTGTACAGTATCGAAAATAAATTACAATCAAATCGAAATATTAATAAATTAGGTGTTTTGAACATTAAAATAATGAATTAATTCAATAAAGTAAAATATTAACACTTAGAAATCGGAAATTCTGGCAAAGCATATTCAGAAGTATTGGAAGTTGCCCAAAATTGTATGCGCGCAAATTCGTCGCGGAGGACGCGGAGAGTGGGAACAGGCGGATGGTGGGGGGAGCGCTCGAGGCAGTGCCCGGACTCGGAGCGCGGCGTTCATTCTTCCTCGAGCCGGTCTCCTATACTGGTCTCTTGGAATTACCTCTCTTATCAATTTCCAACTTTCCTCTATTTCTATATTTATTTCTTCTTTACTTCCTTATTTCTCTATATTTCATTCTTTACTTTCTTATTTATCTCTTTTTTCTCATTTCTTCTCTACTTTTATAACTCTATTCCTTACTTTTCTACTTCTTCATTTCTATATTCATTTCTTTCTTATTACCTTATTCTCACTTCTTTATTTCTTTATATTTCATTCTTTACTTTCTGATTTATCTCTTTCCTCATTTCTTCTCTACTTTTATAAATTTATTCTTTACTTTTCTACTTTTTGACTTTTTTATTTCTATCTTCCTTTTTAATTTCTCATTTCACTCTGTTCCCTCTCACTTTCTATTGTGCTTGTCT